TGTTATACAAATAAAAAAACAACAAGATGGAGAATTACTTTCATAAATGGAAGTACACGTCTTGTTCCATATGCACATTGTTTACATCCACTTCATACAAAAAGAATTTTTTCTAGCCTAAATTGGAATTTTTATGAATATGAACCTAATTTAGAATCGTTAGATGAGGTGTTGTTTCTTGCACAACAACAAGGGATAAATTTTGAAAACTCCTTAGAGAAAGGTAATACCTTTGGTCCAAAACAAAAAATGAGTATTATTACTTTTCTCAATAATGAGTCGAATTTAATAGATTGACTTTTCGTAAAATATTATTTCCTCTTTTTTTCTAAATGAAAAAAAAAAATAGAAATAATAAAATATCATCTTATTTATTTAAAGCGTCAATAATTTGTCTGAATTTATTTTGGTCAGCCACATTACATTGATCACTAAAATTCACATATTCAACACAAGTTTTGATTTCACTTATTTCTTTACTACTTCTGTCTATTATAAGTTTTAATGACCATTCAAAAAAGAATTGATCAGTGATTACACTTGCTTCTCTTTTATGATGTTTAATAATAACAGTTTTTGGTGTAATATCAATATCAACCCTCCATCCATTTGGGACATCTCTATATGGAAATTTCATTCTTAATGGAACATAATATTGTACAGCACTTGCAAACATACATTGTGTAATAGTTTTAAGAATAGAAAGCACAAGGTCTTCTTCTTTAATATTTTCTTTTAAGTAACTCTCTCCAAAAATAGCTGCATCTCCATTTCGTTTACCAGAAACATACGGAAAATATTTGTCATATGTTGAAGTTAACTTGTTTGCTAATTCTTTTTCATCTAATGAAGATGCTAAACCACAAACTACAGCTTTAATACATTCTTCAGCTTGATAATCAGGATTTTGTTCGGATATTTTAGGTCCAGAAACAACTAATAAAGAATCTTTAAATACTTGAACTTTCGGAGCAAGTCGTGGAATATCAATGAAAACAGATGTGTCTTTAACAGGACGAGAATAAACTGCTTTAATGTCATTTACCATTTCTTCTAATGCAATAACATCAGGCTTAAATTCAGGATTATAAAATGAAACATATCCATTTTCTTTTCGTTTAATAACATAACCAACAATTACAATTATAAATACAACTAAAGAAGCAATTGAAGTAACAATAATGGTGCTCATTGGAAGTGATAACGTGATTGATTTTTTTAGATTTTATGAATTTTATTCAACACAAAGTATTATATCTATATTTAGCATTTTTTGAAATTATTTTTTTAGTTTTTAATAATAACAAAACTAAAATTTTATAATATTTGTTAATTATAATAGAAATTGGAGTTTTATAAGAAAAGTAACATAAATAAAAAAACAGTAAAATAAAGATAGTTTTTTTAAAGAGCCATAATAAAATAAAGAATAAAAGAAATGTATATTTCAAAATGAATGACTAAATAAAAGTAAGCAAATGAGGAAATAAAATTTGGGTAATTTACGTCTGAAATTGATGATAACCATCTGTCGTTCTGATGCTTTTTAATAAAAGTAATTACGTTATTTTTGTGTTGAAAAAGATAAAAATAATAATTTATTTTTATTTCATAGATAATAAAAAAATGATATATAAAACAGAAAAAGAGGTGAGGTTTTATTATTAAAGAAAAAAAGAAAAAGTACAAGAAAAAGGCATTTGAAGTTGTTAATTAGAATGAACAACTTAGAAAATTTGATTCAAGAATATTATACTACAACAGATAATAACAGAAGAACTCAATTAAAAACATACTTAATTGAAAAAATAAAAAATAAAGAAGAAATTGAAATACTAAAAGGGTTATTACAAAGTTCAAACAATGCGTTTGTACAAACATATTGTATATCGTTATTATCACAAGGAATGTTAGAATCTCCAGAATTATTTATTGGAATTTCTGAGTCTATTCAACTTCTTGCACTTCAATTATTTAAAAATAATCCTCAAATGAAAAAGTCAGCCTCAGGTCTTTTTGCTTCAAGTGTTATTGGATGTTGGCAATTTGAACATAATACACAAAATTTAGTAAATACTTTTCAAGTATTATCAAATAGGAATTATGATGTTTTTGTTGAAATGTCAAATACTTTAATCGATGTTTGTTTTATATGAATATGTATTTTATTTTTCTTTTGTTTATTATATTATTTACATTTTATAGACATTTAGAACTTACCAAACAAAACCAAGTTTTCCAAAGAAAATCACTGCTGATTTTAGAAATAGTATATTAATGACTATTACTGGATTAGCTGGAAATAATTTAAATAGACCAGGAATTGGTGCAATTTCTATTTTAGAAAATGCAATGTTTGTTTGTAATATTACAAAAACGGATGAAACTGATGAAACTTTTACGTTTTGTCCAACAAAAGAGTTTTTAGATTATTTTATGTCAATTTTAGATACAATCATTTCAAAAGTTCCCGAATCTTTAAATTTGATTGATCAATTAGCACGTATTAGACCATCTTGTTTTGTTGATACTTTGGAAATAGAAGGTTCAAGAGAATGGTTTATTAAAAAATTAGTTAAAGTCGTTGATTATTGTGCAACAAGTGGGAGAGTTGAATTAATAAATTTGGGGTCTCAACTATTAACTGACCTTCATGCTACACATCCAATTTTTAGTTATATTAGTCAAGATTTTATTGATCATATTGCTATATTCACTACATTTGCTTGTTATAATGGTGATTCTAAATCAATATATAATATATTAAGGTTTTGGGGTATGTATTCCTTATATCCATCATTTATACCAAGTTCATTTGAATGTGTTGTTGTATTATTTTGTAGACTAATACAAGATGAATATGAAGAGATTAATGAAAGTGCATTTCTTCATTTTGGAGTTTTAGCAAAAATATGTCTTGGAGAAACTTTTAGTATTTTTGAAACGTTTATCAATTTATTTATTGAAAACCAAAGCGTAAATCAAAGTGATTCTGTGTTATTTCAAAGAATATTTAAAACAATTGAAGCTTCAAAAACAAATGAAGAAATATATTTTAATATATTTTCGAATTTAATTATATTATCATCATCTATTATTGCAGGAAGAGATCCTACTGACTCTCAGTCTGTTTGTCTTTATTCAATGTTTGCAAAAAAGATAGATCTTATATGTAAAGGATGTATAAGTAATATTAATTCATCCTTATTTGATAGAAATATAGAAACTCCAAGGTCTAAAGTTCAAATGGCAATATTAATGTTTTATAAAAATTATATATCAAGTTATTTATGGGATGAAAGTAAAAATTATAGAGATGATGGAATGGTTATTATCAGACAAGATTCTTTAACTAGTGCATTTGGATATTATTTATCTTTAATTGAAATGATATTTACATTAATTCCTATGTGGTGTAGAAATTATAAAATATTAATGGAAATTACTGAAGTATTAAAAAAAATTGTTTCTATTAATGAATATGCAAATAAAGTTGTTAAATTACCTCCTTTAAAATTTTTATTTGAAAGTGATTGTTTTAGTGTATTACAAAATGTTTCACTTCCTTTAAATGAAATGGTAAATTTTAGAACAGCTTTTTACCAATGTCTTGGGTTATTATTATATAATATTCCTTTATCATATCATGTTGGATTTTTAAGACAATTTTTAGTACCTCATCCATTTCAATTAGTTGATATAAGAGCAATTGTAAAAGCTTCTCATTCATGTATAGAAAATATTCCACCAATTTTTGAACATATTTGTGCTCATAACGATGTTTATTTACATCCAATAAATGGACCAATTAATGGAGATGATTGGTTCTTTGTATTAAAATTAGCAAAACAAATTACTGTGTCAAGAGATTTTAAATATAATTATGCACCTGAATGTCCAACTGCCTGTAGACTTTTTCATTATATTGCTGAACTTGTTATTAAATTCTCTGAATATGCTTTAGAACAACAAACGCAATTACTTGCTACGCCAAAAGGAGAGTTATTTGATAATTTTATTAGAAATGCATCACTTGCAATAAAGGTGACAGTTTGCTTATTAGATAATAGTCACATTAATTTTGCAGCATTTAAAATATATAATGACAATACGGTTACTATGCTAATTAATGCTATAGCATCATTGTCAATGATGATAGAAAATTATTCATTAAATTATCCAAAAACTTTTGAAATATTATTAAAATATTGCGAAAAAATGGCAGAACAAGTAGTTTCACTTCAACTTGAAAGTGAAAAAGTTCAATTTATATTTAGGTTTGCTTGTAGAGCATTAAAAGAGAAAAAAGTATTATGGATAGTAACTGGAAGTTCAGCTATTGAATCAATATTATATTCTGCATATAATCAACGAAGTACAAACGAATATTGTGTAATATTATTAAAAGCGCTTCAAGGATTAATACCTGACATAATAATGAATGCCTTTGATAATTTATTTAATGAATTTGAGGCATGGACATTAGAACGATTAATATTTGCTATTATTGTTATATATCCAGATATTTATCAAAAAACTCAATTTAGAATTGCAAGTTTTATTCAAAATACTGTAAAACGTCAAAAATTTATGTCATATTTCCAAATGATAGATTTAGGTGGAACTATAGAATTAGATGACCGTAAAATAAGTTCATTTGATGAACGATTAAAAGAATTCATTAAAGCAATTAAACCACTTTATCATAATAATGGATATGAATAAATTTTTTTTTTCAAATTATTATTTTTTTTTTGTTATAAAAATTTTTTAAATTCCATTTTTAATTTATTTTCTCAAAACAAAGGGGAATTTTCTAAAGAATCTTTTGAAATAAAGAGTTAAGTATTTTATTTTTTAAACTTCCTAAAATACTAAAATACTGAAAAAAAATGAATAACTCTTTTACTAAATGACACATTAAAGACCTTTTCAAACAGTTTTTTTGTTAAATTTCTTAATAAAATGAAAGAACTATGAAAATTTACAGTAAATAATCTATGACCCAAGAACCTAATTATGTTTTTAAAATATTAATGATTGGAGAGTCAAGTGTTGGTAAAACATCATTGGTGAAAAGATATTGTGAAGGAATGTTTCTAGAAGAAATGATGTCAACAGTTGGTATTGACTTTGAATTTAAAGAGCTAAAAATTGGAGAAACTCTTGTTAAATTACAAATTTGGGACACCGCTGGACAAGAAAGATTTCATAATGTTACAAGTAGTTATTTTAGAGGGACTCATGGTTGTATTATTGTTTATGATGTAAATAAATTAGAAACATTTGAAAAAGTTTGTTATTTAAATAACAATAACATAGTAAAAAGGAAAAAAAATAACATAATAAAATAGTTAAACTACTGGATAGAAGAATATCGTGATGAACAACCAAACTCAGAAATTATTATTGTTGGGAATAAAATTGATAAAGAAATGAAAGTCCTTGAATCAAATGCTATTCAATTTGCAAATACAAGAAAAGCACGTCATTATTTAAGTAGTGCTAAAACAGGACAAAACGTTGAAGAAATATTCCAAGACTTAGCAGAATCAATTTTACAAAATAAAAAGTTAATTGCTTTACTTAATGAGGCTAACCAAATAACTACCATTTCTCCTATTCAAGAAAATTCTTCTTGTTGTTGATTCAAGGTGAGAAATAATGTAAAAAGTTGACCAAATTACATATATTTCTTCTACTATTTTGAGTTAATGTAAATAAGTTCTTTTTATGATAAGATTAAATCTCATTATATTTTCTCTCATAAAAAGAAATATGAGAGGAGTTATTATAATCCTAAAAATCAAATTTTTTTTTTATCTTTTTATAATCTCATTGTTTTTATTATAATTTTTTATGTCAAAAGACAATCAAAGTAAAACTTCATTTAAAAATTTTGGTTCAAAAGCTTCTCCTGTTCCTATCACTGATACTACTGTTTCTATTATATTAGACCCAAACAAAGATGCACAAGAAATTGCTGGAGTATTACACACATATTGGCATATGAAAGAAAGACAATGGAATCGAAAGATTACAATGACATTTACAAATTCGAGTAAAACCTTCAGTGTTTTATATTCTATTAGTATTGCAATTATCTTTTTGGTTTACTTAATGCTTCAAATATTTCTATTTAAACGACATAATAAATTTATTGTTGAATATTTATTAGAAGCTGTTCTTTCAATTGCTTGTATTTTATTTGGTCCTCGTTTACAAATGAAGTATCGAATTCTTACTACTGAGGCTTATCTTTTTACCATTACTTTTTTTATTTGTTCATGGTATTATCAACCAGGGTATTATGTTCCTTATTTATTTTGTTGTGTTTTGTTTGGCTTATTTTCGTTATTTATTTATTCAACTTCACTTCGTTTAAAGAGGTTTTATATTAGTCAAATAAGACGAGAGACAGGGTCAATTAGAAAAATTGTGCAAGAAGACACAATACGATATGAAATTCAACAAGACCAATTCTTTAGTAGTCCTCATTTATGTGTTTTAGAATCTAAATATTCAGGATTAGTCGAAGGAGAATCACTTTGGATTGATACAAGTTATCAAGGAGAATATGTTAGTGGATGGTTTGAACATGGTGAGCCTGTAGGTCCTTTTGAATCAATTGAAAATGGGACTAGAAATGTTTTACATAGTTTACGTATTATTTTTGCTACAGATGCCCAAGGCAAATACACTAATCATCGTAAACCATTGCATTATGGAGTTGCTGGTGTTGAATGTAATGTTTCTGGTAATTTTTATTTAGGATATCCACGTTGTCGATTTATCAATGGACCAACATTATGTCAATGTCAAGGTCCATGCCAATGTTTAAATAATCAATTTTTATATTATAAACACTCTGATGATAATAAACCAGTTGAAACTATTACAGTTGCTATTGATTCTCTAAACAATCTTTCAATCTCAGGATTCCAAGGGGATGTTGATGACATTAAATTAAACTATGATAACGGTCAAATTGGGATTGATGAACGTTGGTTGCCAATAGCAGAAGAAGGGAAAGAAGCGTTAATATACATTCATGGATTAAATCATACATTAGTGGATGCATTAAAGAGATTAGGTCAATTACTTGCATTAGGACATTTTCCAAAACATATTATTCCATTTGTATTTAGTTGGCCATCATGTTCCAATCCATTTTTGTATTGTTGTGCAGCAAATGTTTCTAGTGATAATGCGGTTCATAGGGATTTACGGAGATTTCTTTATTCTCTTCGAAATACAAAAATAAAGAAAATTCATTTCTTAGGACATTCATTAGGAACAAGATTTTTCTTACAAAGTTTTTCAATGTTAAAAGAATTATTTGCTCCAACAGAAGAGTTTTGTAAAGACCATGGATTGTTTGAAGTTCACAATTTAATATTATTGTCTGGAGATTATGATGCAGCTACATTTGTTGATGATTATCCTGATTTTATTCCTTATATCAAGCATGTTTCTTTATATGCAGACTCTCGAGATATGGCATTAAGGTCAAGTAAATTTATGATGAGAGGAAGTAGAATAGGTCAAAATGTCTCAGTCTTTAAAGATTTAAATGGAAAGAAATTAGATGATATTGATGTTATAGATACAGGTGATCTTGAACGAAATATTGATGGTGCTAATCATGGTTTCTTTAATATTAATACCTCAATGATCGAAGATCTTCAAGAAGTTATTTGTTCAGGTAAAACTGCTGCACAAAGAACTAGTAGATTAGTTGAAAAAGATGGTGTATATCATTTTACTCTTCTTCCAAGAAGTGTTAAGATGTGATAAATTAAATTATTTATTAAATATTTCATTTTCATTCTTTTTGTTTATATTTAAAAATCATTCAATTCAAATACATTAATCAAAGTAAAATGGTTCATCATCACTAATATTATCACTATTTGCAAAAAATATTGTTTGGTCATTTGCAACTCCACTTGTATTACAACTTTGTGTTTTTCCAACATTATCATCATCGTCATCAAATATAAATACTTCATCATTATAGTCAATGTTATTAAAAACGATTTGTTCATTAGATTTATCATCAGTACTTTCTGAAGTGATTTCTTCAAGTTTAGAAGTCCTACACTTTTCGTTATGTTGTTTATTAAAAGATTTTTTTTTCTTTTGACACACTGTTTTTTTAATTAAAAAATTATCATCAAATGAAGGTGGGATTGGCTTAGTTTCTTCTTTCCTTTTAATTTGAAGCTTTAATGAAGGACGGTCATTCATTTTAATTGTAATACGAGTATTTGGTCGTGTTTCTTCCTTCTTCTTTAAATATGTAAATTCTTTCCCACAAACAGATAACACATCTCCATGATGTAAGTTTTGTTTAGTCTTTACTTTAACTCCATTGACAAGAACTGGTGCTAAATCACTTAAGTTACAAACACATCTTCCCCAATCTTTATCGCATACAATTAATGAACAATGTCTAGGTAATATATTTGGTGTTTCTTCTTCAATTCTAATATCACCGAGTGAGCCAATACTAATAAGTACTTTGCTTAAATCAAATATATTTTTTGAAGAAGAGATCAAATAAAAGTTTTGCATTAAAAAAATATTATATTAAATTTACAGTTCTTAAAGAGAATTTTTTAATTTACTAATAACTAATGATGTTAATAATTTATTAAAAATATAAAAATATAAACTTCAATACTTTACTAAATCATAACCTTTAGTTTAAATTTTTTGAGCAATAAATTCTTTAAGAGCTTCAACAGTTCTTGGACCTTCAAACTCAATATTTTCATTACCCTTGTATAAAATAACTGTTGGATATCCTTGAACATGTTCACAAATATCTTGGTTTTGAGTACAATCAACTTCAGCAACAATTAAATTTGGGAATTCAGTAGCTGCAACGTTTGAGAATTCTTCATAAATTGGAGCAAGTCTCTTACAATGTCCACACCATGGTGCAAAGAATTTAATAAAAACTGGTTTTTCTCCTTTAACATAGTCATTAAAGTTAGCAGTACTTATTGAAACAACATTAGCAGAAGCAATGGCTATTAAGCATAAAGCTAAAAAGGCTCTCATTTTGTGTTTTTAAGTTAAGATTATTCTTTCTTGAAATACCATTTTATTTTTATCTAAAAAGATTTATAATTACATTATAGTTTATAATAGTAAAATTTTAATATATTTCTTTGATGATGAATTTTTTTTTTTTTTTTTAAAGTAAAAAAAACTGAATATATAACATATTTCTTTATTTTTTTTTAAATAACATAAATGAAATAACAAAAAAAAATAAGACTTATCTTAAAGGGAAGTAAGAAGTACTTCTTCCATATGAACTCTTGTGATAGAATGTAAGGTAGATCCCGATACAGCTATTGTAAATAATAACCAAATGAATAATTTATTTGTAAATAAGCAAAGAATGAATGTAATAAAGACATAAATAATAGAAAGAATAGTTGGTTTCAATTGAAAAAGAGAAGAATGTTTTAATTTAGGAATAGAAAAGAACAATAAGATATTGAAAAGAGATTCTGTTATAAAGAATTTCCATGAACCAATAAAGAGAGAAGGAATAAAAATAATAAAATAAATAAATATATAAATTTTAATATACGTTCTAATATTATTTTCATATCGACTTTCAATATCCATTGGAACAGAATATGAAGTTATATTTCCTATAAATGTTTTTAAATCAAATTGTTCATTAAACAAATCATTAATTAAGTATGTTGTAATATCTTCTAATCCATTATTAGAAACTCTTGAATAATTAGTTTGAGTTGTTTCTTGTTGATCCATATACAATAGTAAATCAGTTCCTTTTATTTAGGAATAAAAAGAATAGAAATTAGATTTTATCATTAAAAAAAACTATTTATTATAAATAAAAGTTAAATGCCATTATCTCCAACACAACAAAAATATATTAATGCATTTATTATTATTATTACAATAGGAAGTACTTGTGGAGTAATAGTATTATTTTATTTGTTTGTATTTCCATTATATCAAATAAATTTCTTTATTCAAATGATGCATATTATTTTTCATTGTTATGTCATTTATTCATTATTTTATTTCTATATTAAATGTATTATTTCTGTTCCTTCAAAAAATACATTATTATATAATCAATTATTTCCTCATTATATTGAACAATATGGTGAAAGATATTGTGAGTATTGTAAAAAATCTAAACCATTAAGAGTTCATCATTGTTCTACATGTAAACAATGTATAGGAAGATATGATCATCATTGTTTACTAATTTGTAATTGTATAGGAGATTATACAATGCGTTTATTTATTAATACTATTATATATTTTTTTATAGGGTCTCTTTATCTTATTGTGATGATAAGTTATTTGTATTATAATACTTTATTTGTTTGTTATTTAACAAAAGTAATTTAAAATAAACATAAGAATTAATAGAATTAGAAAGATATTCCTTTAATTTCAGTAGCAAGTTGTTGTAGTATTTTTGGCATATCAATAGCAATATCAATAGCAATGGGATTATATCTTATTTATTATTTCTATTTAATTTATAACAATTATACAACAATTGAATTAATTGCTTTGTTATCTGAAAATACAAAAGTATTAAATTATAATAGAGGTTTTTATAATAATTGGAAAGAAATAATGTTATATAATATTGATCTTCCTTTGATTTATTCATTTATTCCTATAGATCCTTTAACTTGGAACAATAGTAACAGTAGTAAAATTAAATAATTATTGAAGTATTTGATCTTTTATTATTTGAACTAAAAAAGAATTAATAAAACTTTCATTAATATGATCCATCCATTATTACAACGTCAAGAAAATATAATTCCTGAACGTCATTATGATTCAGAAGATTATATATTTGGAGTTGAAATATCACCTATTAAAGGAATATTTCAACCTAAATTAGAAGGTGAAAAGAAAGAATTATTACTTTCATTACCAATTGAATATTTTCAAAGTATTGTTAATGAAAAACATCTTGAAAAAAAACAATACTTTTTTGATAATTATCCATGTTTTATTTCATGTTATAATTCTCTTTGTTTATTTTCTGGTTCATCAATTCCTATTGAACATACTACTTCTTTAGTTAATATTTTATATTCAGTATTTCAATTTAATAAAGTAATTACTATTGATACTGTTGATACAATAAAAACTATTTCTCAATTATCAACTTCATTTGTAGAAATTAAATCTAATTTTCCTGAATTACTTCCACCTTATACATTACCTAAATCAAGTGCAGCTTTATTTACTTTTGTTTGTTAATTTTTAAATTACTTTAATAACAAAAAAAAAAGAATTTTTAAACTTATTATTAATTTATTTAGTGTGAATTTAATCACCTGTCTTGTATTTCTTTAATTCTAGAACAAGAAAAACAACAAGTTAATCAATTATTATCATTTCTAGAATTATCAACTCCATTAAAGGATATTTCACTTCCATCAGTGTCTTATTCTTTTTCAACCCTTTATGCTTAAATAAAGACATTTTTTATTCATTAATTTTTTTTAAACCCTTTTTGAATTAAAAGATTATAATTCTTCATGTCAAAGAACCAAAAACAACTTCTCCTCGAAGAAAGATTATTATCATTTTCTAAAATGATGGACGAAAAATTAAATCTTCCTCCTAATTCTCGTTTAGAACGCTATTTTAAAGATATTTTTTCTGTAAAAAAATTATCTGTTATTGATTTAATTTATCGCACTATGTTCCCTTTTAATCTTGATGCACAAAAAGTTATTGAACAAATATTTTTACATTTACAATTCCCTCAAATTAAATTATTAAATCCTTTTTATACTATGAAAAAGAATATTCATAAAATTAAAGGTAACATTTATGATTCTCAACTCGCTGAATTGGGAAATAAATGTCAAATAGAATTATTTAGTGTTGACCATCCTTTTGTTCCTTTATGGGCTTGTAAAGATGAAGAAATAAAACCAATATATGAAGAATTTCATAATTTGATTAATTATAATTATCCTTCAAATAATACTAAGTTAATCACATTATCTTCGGCATTTGGAAAAAAAGAAAAATTACCATGTCCATTCACTTATCTTCAACTTTCTGAAATGTGCGGATGGAATGACACTGACAAAAAAATTATTGAAGAAAAAAAACCAAAATCACCACTCCCTCTTCCTAAACAACCTCAAATCTTAGCAAAGAAACAAGATGATTCAACTATATTTGTTCTACCTTCAGAAAAAAAAAGTGAAAAAAATGTCATAGACAATGAAGTTCAAGAAAAACAACCTCAAATAAATAAAGAGATTGAAATATCATCAATCCCAAAAGTTCCAAGGGAAAGTATCTTTTCAACCAAATTGCCACAGCAACAACCCTCTGTTATTGTACCACAAAATGAGAGATTATTAGAAGTTGAATGGACAGACCAAAATGAAATTAAGGAAGATCAGGAAATATTACAATACGCACAACAAATAATTGAAAAGTTAAAAGCAAGGTATGTGTTTTCAGACACTAACGAAGTAAAAAATATTCTTGATGTATTAAGTAGTTGGGTAAATTGAATTAGTGTTATGAGTGATGTGTATATTTCATTTTTATAATTCAATAAAACAAAATAAATCATGAAAAAAGAATATGAAATCCTAAAAATTTCAATTATGGCAAAACGAATTTAGTTCCTTCGACTCTACTTTTAATGTAATAGTAGAAATATTCGACATATAACAAGGTTTGAATAGAACCACAAATCCATGTTAATGGACTCCAATATGATTGTTCTGTTGCATAACGGTATATCCAATTAATAATATAAAGTGCTCTATATAAACCTAAACAAAAAATGTATTGAGAATTTAAATTTTCAACTTCACCAGTTGAACGAAGAAGTAAGATTTGTGGAAGAATGGCAACTGCCTCAAGGAAAATAGAAAATGTCCAACAAATTTCTGTGATAGAATAGTCTTCGGTAAAAATAAATGCTAATACAATACAAGGAACAATTAAATACCATACATTCAATGTGTCATGAATTTTATCATATGTTGCTCTAAAACGTTTTGAAATTAAATAAATGGTATATGCAGAAGTTGTTAAATAAACGATTTTTAAAATAGTATTATATAGTGAATAAAAATTATAAAAAATATCTAAGTATCGAGTGACCCATACGATAAAGAATAATATCTGTGATCTTAATGAAATTCCTAAGAGTTGTTATTGTTTATTTTAAAAAAAATGTTATTTCTATTTAAAAATATTAAAACAAACCTATACAATTTTTATGACTAATGATCTTTGTTAAAAGGAAATATATACTTAGGAGATGAACCAAATCTGCACTAATTCTAAAAAGATTAAACACCATAAACTAATTCTTTGTAGATTTAATTTTTAAGTTTTTCTGAAATAAAATAATAAAATTTAAATAAAAAGAAAAAAATTCTCACCAAAACAAGGAAAGTAATCTTTTCGTTTTTGAGAAAGATACATTTGTTCTAATGAATATAAATTGAAATGAATAGTCATAGACTTAATAATGAGTAATCAAGGAGAGGAAATTGAAGAGTTCCCTTCACTACTTCCTGATGATCAAGAAGTTAATTTAACGAAAGAAACAAAAGAAACTGCTAAAGCTTTAGAACAACCCCCTGTTATAGAAATTATTGATGGAAATAAATATGAAGCATACCGAGAAAAAATGAAACTGTTTGGGATTTTTGTTGCTATTAACGTTATTTTTATTGTATTCGTTCAAACCGCTTCATCTCTTGCTGTTCAATTAGTTTTCTTATGTTATATCATATTTTCAGCATTTCCAAAATTTTTATTTGGGTCTATACTTCAAAAATGTAAGCCTCACGTCCGTGCACCACCAATTAATAAAACTGATGTTGATGAAGAAGATGGAGAACGAGTATGGCACGTTTCAAGTGAAATGTTTAAATGTCCCTCTTGTGGGTGTGACTGCGGTGGTCAAAATTATTGTACAGAATGTGGACAAAGTGTTGAACATGAGCATCCAATTTTGCTTAGTGTTTGTTTGACAGTTCATCATGAAGATGCATCTGGTGTTGAAGGGGGTATAAGAAGTTTTGAAATTAGTGTTTTACCATTTGAACCAAAGTATTGTCAATTAATTTTTGTTATTGATGGAAGAAGAGATAGAAATATGCAAATTGATTATCAACAACTAGAAACAGCTTCATTCATTATTTGTAGACTTCGTGGAGTTGAAAGAGACCAAAGTTATGCAGACGATGATGGTGTTATTAGATTTAAAGATGGAAAAGGAGATCCAAGAATATTAGAAGATGGAATGGCTGTGTATGAAGGAATTCTTGAAAGTGGAATGAATTGGATTGTATTATTGAAAAAGAAAAATGGAGGAAAAAGGCATTCTCATGAAGTTTTTTTTGATTATATGGATAGAGGAATTACTCGTAAAACAGCAAAAGCAATTATGTTTGTTGACAGTGATGTTGAATTTGCATGGGAAGGAAATGAAAGGGGATTAATGGAAATGTATAATGGGTTATTAAAAAGAGAAGCCATGGGAGGTGTTTGTGGAGAAATTGAAGTTGCGCATTGGTATAAAAATCCATTAACAATGTGTCAGTATTTTGAATATAAATCAAATCAATTTTTAGCTAAGACATTTGAAAATTGGTTCGGAATGGTCACTTGCTTACCAGGTGCTTTTTCTATGATTCGGCCACAAGCTATGGAAACAGTATTAAATGAATATTTAGCAACTTCCACTTCTATATGGGAAAAGAATCAGTTGGATCTTGGAGAAGATAGAACACTAACCACACTCTTAGTAGAAAAAGGTTGGGATACAGGTTATGTAACTAAGGCTGTTGCACATACCGACGCACCATTTACTTTAGTTGGACTTATTAAACAAAGAAGAAGATGGATTAATTCTACAATAGTCAATATGGGTATTTTGTTACAAAGAATTAGAAGACCAGTAGTTCTTCCTTTGTTGGTCTCTTTGTTTATTGAATTGTTAAGTTCTTTTATGCTTCCTTGTGCTGTTGTTATGTTGTTTATTCAAATCTTTGCTGATTGTGGAGTAAATAAAGCTATTTGCATTGGAGTTCTTGTTCTTTGGTTAGCCTTGCTTATAACATTTAGTCTAACAAGTAAGATTGAAGATATGGAATATTGGTTTCAAGCATCAACCATTATTGGTGGATTTTTAGTTTTTCTTATGATTATTGGGGTTATTCAAAATGTTTCAGGATTCTTTGACAAGCACTGGCTTGAACTTTCGGTTATGTTGTCGTGGGTGTTTATTATTGTGTTTGCTGCAATTATTCATGGTCAATGGTTTTCTATATTTAACGTTGTTGCTCCAGTTGTGTGGTTCCTTTTAACACCTATGATGTATGTCATTATTCCAATTTATGCAGTATGTAATTTTGATGATGTTTCGTGGGGAACACGAGGAGGAGTTTAAGAAAAGATAGTTTAACTCTTTCTTAATTCTAATCTAACAACTTAATTATTTTAGTTTCTTTTTTGTTATTTTTTTATTATTTGATATTTATTCATTCTTCGTAAAAATTAATGTATTTCATGATATTATTGTTTTTTTTTTCTTTATTTTTTATTTTGTGTTTCTTTTTCTCTCTTTCATATCATGTGTTTATTTATTTTTTTAATAAATTAATATCACTCATTTCTTTTATAGTTTCAATACGTATTATTTATGAAGTTGTTTTATTTTTATTTAGTATTTTGTTTTTATGTTTAATAAAATATGATAAATAAATATAAATAATCAATATTATCTCAAATTGATATAATTACATATTTTAAATAAATGAAAATAATAAGAAATGAAATATATAATGAAATAATATATATTTAAATGAATAATAAATGAAAATACAATAAAATTATTATTCTTTGTATTTTATTAATTTATCATTGTTTTATTTCATATTTATTATTATTATTATTTGATTAATATTGTTATTTAGCATTATGAAAATAAAAATACAATTAAAATTACATTGATTCTTCATTTATTATTCATCGTTTCTATTCTTAATGAAATTATAAATTATTGTATTATAACTTGTTGATGAAATTTGTTTTAAATTTTATACATATTAAATCAATCAATATCAACAAATTCATTACATTTCTATTATTCATCTATAACTTCATATTCGAAATGATTATTATCTATTCATTTATTCATTATTATCAATATATCAAATAATGTGGTTGTATTTGAACATTGTGTTCATTTCAATTTATCAATGTTTCATTGAATATTATTCTTGATTTTAACATTGAATAACTTATTTTAATTATTCATAATAATCAAAATGTTGACTGTTTTCTTTTTGAATTGTATTAATTTATTATTTTACAATCAATTTTTTAATATTCATTTCTACGTTATTCTTTATTTTTATTTCATTTGAATATTCTAACACTTATTTTATCATTGTTCAAAGAAGAGAATAATAATATATTG